AGCAGGACTTGGTAATGTGTAAGAGTCTCCTGCATGGTTCTGGTGTTGAAAGCATGAAGGGGTCACAGAGAGCAGCTGAGGCTTGGCATGCAGAGGCCAGGAAAGGCCACAGGTGAAAGTGCAGTTCAGTTGCAGGATTGAAGGGGTCATGGAGAGAATCTGAGGCTTTGCACCCAGAGAGGCATGAAGAAGCCATTGGTGAAGATGTAGCCTCAGTTTCAGTGGCGACCCCAGCTTTTTGGAGATGTCGGGACCATGGGATGACCACCAAGTACAGCAGTAAGTATGGAATGGAGCTGGCCTCGGTCTGCAAGATGAGCTGAATGTGCTGTGGACTGCAGAGTCAGAGCAGTGGAGCTGCCAGTACCCTTTGGAGCCCAGAAGTTGGTTTTGCTTAGGTGTGTCCGATTCTTCCCTTTGAAATAAGATAGTACTTGTTTGGATTTTATAGAAGCCCACCCACAGTTGAGACTTTTAAAAGAGACTATGGATTTTTAAGTGTTTGGATTTTTTAAGGATTGTGGGGTTTTTAAGGTTGTACTGTCTTATGATATTAACATCATATCTTGGGGATGAAAATTGGAAAGTTTATGGTTTAATAGTGACATTTGTGTGTCAAGCTGACGAGGGGTCAGCTGTGCTGGATAGCTTTAGTGTCAACTTGACACACCTGGGTTGAGGGGGCCTCAATTGGGGGATTGCCTCTATTGGACTGGCCTGTGGCCATGTCTGAGGGGCATCTTCTTGATGAGTGATGTGGGAGGGCCCAGCCCACTGTGGATGGTACCACCCCTGGGCAGGTGGGCCTGTGTTGCATAAGAAAGCAGGCTGAGCAGGGGCCAGGGGAGCAAGCCAGTAAGCAGTGTTCCTCCATGGCCTGTGCTCCAGCTCCTGCCTCCAGGTTCCTGCCCTGAGTTCCTACCTTGGGCTCCCTGATGAACTGTGACCTGGGAGATGTAAGTTGAATAAACCCTTTCCTCCCCAAGTTGGTAATGGTCAGAGTATTTTGTCACAGCAATGAAGAAACAAACTAAGACATAATGCAACATATTTTGAGGACAGTTAAAAATAATGTACAACCTGGTCTACTTAGTGAATTCCAGGCTAGCTGGGCTAAGAAGGGACCCTGTCTTAAAAAACAAAAACCAATGTATAAAGTATAGATCAAAACTGGAAAGAGAGGAGATTTAAAACATTGCACCACAAAAATGGTATGTGATCAATATGCTAACTAGCTTGATTTAATCATTCTATAATGCAACCACATTATCAAAGTATCATGTTGAACTGGGTGAGGTGGCCTATGTCTGTAATTCCAGAATTCAGGAGGCTGAGGCAAGAGGATTACAATGAGTTTGAGGTCAAGGCAAGAGGATTACAATGAGTTTGAGGCCAGTCTTGGCTGCATAGTGAGTACCAGGCAAGCCCTGGCTACATAGCAAGACTGTCTAAACCCACTCTAGCAAAACCTATCACGATGAACCCCATAAATATATACAATTATTTGTTTCAGGCCTCAGGCCATACATGGTGGTACATACCCTTAAGCCAAGCACTTGAGAGGCAGAGGGAGGTGGATCTCTTGAGTTTGAGGCCAGCCTGGTCTACACAGTGAGTTCCAGGCCAGCCAGAGCAACATAATGAGACCTTTAGACAAAAGATGTTTTGTGCTGGGCATGGTGGCATGTGCTTGTACTCTCATCACTGTGGGAGATGGAGGCAGGAGAATCATGAGCTCAAAGCCAACCTAAGATAAATACTGAGACCCCGTCTCAAACACAACAAAAAAAGATGTTTTTTAAATGTCATATATGCATGTGTGCACACATACATACACATATTCCACAATTTGTTACTTTGAGGAGTTTAATATTTCACTGCTTTTCAAATTATTAATCTAAAGTCCTGAAAAAGCAAAACAATCATATTTCTGCAAACCTGGGGAAACTTTTATGTTTGCACACACACATGTGTGTATATGATGTGTGTGAGCCCACATGCCACAATGCCCACATGGAAGAAGACAACTTTCAGAAGACAACTTTCTCTCCTTCCACCTTTATACAGGTTCAGGGGATTGAACTCGGTTCACCAGGCTTCAGCAGCAAGTATTTTTACCTGGTAAGCCATCTTGCCAGCTCATGAGAAAATATAAAATTTAAAACAGCAGAGCAGCAGCCAAAAAGTGCTTCATCACAGTGGTTAGGCACTGCTGTCATGTGTCAAGGACCCAGGGTAGGGAGGGAGACAGGCAGCCAAGCAAGTTCAGTTCATGATGGAATACTCCATTTGTCCACCTTTTGTACATAGAGAACTCAGCCAAACCAGGAAATGTCAGGACAACCACCACCATCCTCTTCCCTGCTGGTGTGTGAGTGGCTCAGTGTGCACCTCACCTTGTGCTGAAGTTCCTGGATCAGGGCTTCCTTCCTGGTCAGCTCTTCCTGGGCAGACTGCAGGAGCCCTGAGTGCTTTTTTGAGGCCTCTGTGAGCATGTTCAGCTGCTCAGTGGCATGGGCCAGATCCTCACACAGCATATCCCTCTGTTAGGGGACAATTTCATAAAAGAATTATTTCTTAACTGTGACCTTCCAATAAGGTTCACAAATCATTACTACATATAATTTTTAAAAGGTTAGTAGAGTTCTATATACAAAATTAAAAAAAAAAATTATTTGGTTTATGTGCTAACCCATTCCAAGACACGCCAACCAGTTCCTTATTTAGGTGACCAAGCCATGAGGTGTGATTTCAGAAGATTCACAGACTCCTTGTTCAGGCTAGGTAGCACTCTCCTCCCTATCAGGAGTTTAGAGCTGAGCTTTTCCTAGAAAGGACTCAAGGAATAGAGCTTACCTACTGTCCCACCAACTGACTATGAATTTTGTGGGATGCGTCTGTGTATTTTGTGTTTGCACATGGATGCCAGAAATCAACATTGAGCATCTTCCTCCATTGCTGTATACCTTATTTTATTCTTAATTCTTAAAAATATTATTTTCAAGCCAGGAGTGGTGGCACATACCTTTAGTCCCAACACTCAGGAAGCAGACGCAGGTGAATCTCTGTGAGTTCCAGGGCAGCCAGGGCTACATAGTGAGACCCTGTCTCAAAACCCCAAAAGAAGGGGAAAAAAAAAGAAAAGAAGAGAAAACTGTTATCTCCTATGTACAAGTATCACCTACATGTGTGCAAGTGCACCCATGTCGTGCAATGCCTGCCGAATCAGAAGAGGGTGTTGCATTCCCCTGTAACTATGGTTACAGATGGTTGTTAGTCAACATGTGGGAGTTGGGAACTGAACCTGGGTCCTCTGCAAGAGCAGTTCTTAACTGCCAAGTCATCTCTCCAGGCCCTTTTTAAATTTTTTGAAAATTTATTTTTATTTCATGTGTATCAGTGTTTTGCCTGCATGTATGTAAGTGTACCTGTGTTGTGCAAAGTCTAAGGAGGACAGAAGAGGGCATTGGATCCCCTAGAACTGGAGTTACAGATGGTTGTTAGCTGCCATGTGGGTTCTAGGAATTGAACCTGGGTCCTCTGCAAGAACAGCTAGTGCTCTTAACTGCTGAGACACCTCTCCATCCCCTATTCACTTTATTTTTTGTGAGACAAGGTCTCTCACTGAACCTGGAGCCTACCATTTTGGCTAGACCAGATGGCTAGCAAGCAGCCTGGATCTGTCTGACTTTTCAAACCCCAGTATTAGAATTACAGATTCATGCTGTTGTAGGATCATGGGTGCTGGCGATCCAAACTTAGACACTCATGTTTGTGATGCAAGCAGTTTACCACTAAGCCATCTTGCCAGCTTGACTCTGGGGTTTTATATACCAAAAGGTAAATAACTGTTTAAGATTGTCTCTACCCCAGGCAGTCAGGGAAGGGCTGAAGCTGTTCTTGACAATGACCACTGAAGCCTCATTGAATAAAGTAGAAGAAAGTGGCACAAAGATTAAGAAGTCCTAAAAGCTGCCATACATAAATCCTACATAGCATAGGGAGTCATTACCAAACTAGAACAGAATCTGCTTATCTTTTCTTTCCAAATGTGACTCTCTGGCCTCCAAGGGCACTGTGCTTACATGTATGTACCCACACAGGGATTAGACTGGCTTGTAGGCATACCTGTGAGGGAGTGTCTTTGATTATTAACTAATGCAGAAGGGTCCAGCCCTCTGTGTGCATCACCATCCTGCACTATATAAGAATGCTAGCTAAGAGCCAGGTGTGGTGGCACATACCTTTAATCCCACCACTTGGGAGGCAGAGACAGGCAGATCTCTGTGAATTCAAGGCCAGCCTGGTCTACATATTGAGTTCCAGGCCAGCTAGGGTGACAGGGAGACCCTGTCTCAAAAAGACCAAAAAGAATGCTAGCTAAGCATGAACCCAGGAGTGAGCCATCAACAGTATTCCTCCATGGTTTCTACCTCAGGTTCCTGCCTTGAGTTCCTCCCCTGACTTCTCTCAATGATGGATTATGATCTGGAAGTGTAAGCCAAAGAAACACTTTCCTCCTCAAGTTGCTTTTGATCAAAGTCTTATTACAGCAACAAAAAGGAAACTTAAACATATAAGTATGAAGATCAGAATTTGAATCTTATCACCCATGCAAAAAACTGGGTGCAGTGGTATTCCCATAATTCTAGCTCTGGGAAGGTAGAGACAGGAGGATGGCTCAGCTCACTGGCTAACCAGCCTAACCTAATCAGCAAGTTCCAAGTCCCAGAAGGGAACTGTGTCTCAAAAGCACAGATGGACAGACAGTGCCTGAGGAATGAAACCTGAGGCTGACCTGTAGCCTTCGCATTCACACCCCCCCACACACGCACAAGAGCACACACACAAAAAAGAGGACTTGATATGCTACATTCTCCCTGTATACACTTTGGGTAATATAAATTTTCACTGGGTGGATTCTGTTTCATCTTTGGATGTATCACAGTTTAACTGATGACTAAATATCTTAGCCGACCTGAATTTTTCACTATTCTATGTACTTTCTTCCTCATATTTGGATTATTTCTTTAGGTTAATTTTCTAAAAATACAAACTCAAAGCACAGGTAAAAACTTTCAGGCTACATATCACCAGCTGAATCTTGTCATCTTCTCTACATGGCTTCTTTGAGGCTGAAGGTTTCCTCCTTCTAAGATCAGGGTATTTAAAATATGCTTATCTTTGATTGTATATGTGCCATTACATTGCTTCTTTCAGGAACTATTCATGCATTGTCTGCTGTCCACTGTCCATGATTCTGTCTTCATCACTTATAAGTACTCCATTGAGGTAATTAACTTGTTGACATTATTCATAGTTCCCTCTAATTTATTGCTATGTCTACCTATTTTAAAATGTATAATCTGGGGCTAGAGAGATGGCCCCAGAGAAAAGACCTGGGTTTGAATCCCAGCACCCACATGGCAGCTAACAAGTGTCTGTAACTCCAGTCCCAGAAGATCTGACAGCCTCTTCTGACCTCTGTTGGCATTGCACAACGGGTGCACTTACCTACATGCAGGCAACACACATGTACATGTAAAATAAAAATTTTAAAAAAAGTTTAAAATGTATAATCTTCTCTTATTGTCTTTTGGGTGTTTTGCTTTTTTAGACGGGTCTGGTTATGTAGGCCTGACTAGTCTCTAACTTGTAGCAATCCTCCTGACTCTGCCTCTCTAGTGCTGGGATTATAAGTGTGCACCACCACACCTAGCCTTACTTTACTGTTTGTAACCTTAATATCAAGAATGTTTTTATGGTCATCTTCAATAAATAATGTCAAGATTATTCATATGCATTTGTACTTTCTAATACTCTATCATTTGTCTAGTCTAAGAACTTGTTTTCTTTTCTTTTAATATTTATTGTGTGTGAGTGTATTGCCTGCATGCAAGTGCACCTGTGTCATGCAATACCCACAGAGGTCAGAAGTGGGCATCAGATTCCCCTGGAATTGGAGTTAAGGACCATTGTTAGCCACCATGTGGGTGCTGGGAATTGAACCCAGGTCCTCTGCAAGAGTAGCCAGTGCTCTTAACCACTGAGCCATCTCTCTAGCCTCAAGAGCTTGTTTTCTTTTTTTTCTTTAAATATTTATTATTTTTATTTTATGTGTATGAGTGTATTGCCTGAATGTAGGTAAATGTACCCATGTTGTGCAATGCCCCCGGAGGACAGAAGAGGCCATCGGATCCCCTGGAACTGGAGTTACGGACAGTTGTTAGCTGCCATGTGGGTACAGGGATTCGAACCCGGGTCTTCTGTAAGAACAGCCGGTGTTCTTAACCACTAAGCCATCTCTCCAGCCCCCAAGAACTTGTTTTCTTAAGAACTTAAAAGGTTTTATTTTCAAATTGGTCAGTTTTCCTAATATTTACTGACTGAATCCACCCTCTTTCACTGTTGCAATATGCCTCTACCTTTACACTCAATTCTTTCCCCTTCACTGTAGCCATGTATATTCCAATTGTTGCAACAATCTCTGAATAGCCTAACCCGGCACATTTATCCCCTAGCTCACAAATCTTTCCATATTGTTCTTTCTTAAGTTTTATTGAGAAATCTTATGTATTTATTTCAAAGGAATTTAAAAATTCTATCACCAATATTTTTAATTGATATTTGAGTTGGAATTACATATATTTCTGTATCTAAAATAATTCTGTGTCTTCCTGTTCAAGTCTCACTTTAGTTCACTTTATCTAAATCTCTTTGATAGCCTTAACTTTTACTAAATTTTCTCCCTAATTTTGACACATTATTCTATTTTTGTACACAGGACTTTTTAAATGTTTTTATTGTTTTTAAGCTATCTACTGCTGATCTATAGTAAAATTGTTTTTAGAAAACACTCTTTTTTGTCTTGAGACAGGGTCTCCCTGGCCTAGAACTAGCTATGTAGTCCAGGCTGGCCTTTAACTCAGGCAGATGATGCCTGCCTTGGCCTCCTGAGTGCTGGGATTAAAGGCATGCGCCACCACACTTGGCTTAGAAAACACTTTTGATTATTCATGTGAATACAATTTTTGCTTGATTTTTTTTTTTTTTTTTTTTTTTTTTTTTTGAGACAGCTTCCCATGCAGCTGACCTTGAATTCCTGGTCCTCATGCCTCTACCTCCCAAGTGCTGGGATTACAGACCTGTATCACTATACCTGGCTAACATCACTATTTTAAGATACTGAAATAGTATATTGGAGTTTCCATGTAGATGTTCATGTGCAAGTAATAGTCATTTTCTCTGAATTTTAGAATATTTGTAATCTCATTATTCTCATTTTGCATTGGCCTGGAGTGCATACTATTGAAAACTAACATATGGAAGATTTGAATAACTCACAAACTACAACCAGAAGCTACATTTTATATAAACAGAAATACAAAGTGAATATGAACTGGTTGTTTACAAAGTCAAATCTACCTGAGTCTAAAATACTTCAATATCATAATTAGAACTTTTCTTGTTTTTGAGACAGGGTCTCACTATGTGACCCTGACTGGATTGGAACACACCTTATAAGACCAAGCTTGGCTTTAACTCACAGTGACCACCTGCTTCTGCCTCCTTTGTTGGGATTAAAGAAGTGTGCCAGAACACACTGTTTTTAATTACTAGTTCTTTATTACATTTATTTAGTGTGTGTGTATTGTATGCTTCAGCCTCTGTGTGAAGATCAGAGGACGACTTGTAGGAGCTAGTTCTCTATTCCATTATATGGGTACTAGGGATTGAACTCAGGTCAGACTTAGTAGCAAGCACCTTTTCTCATTGAGCCATCTCTCTGGCCACAAGTATATTTATTTAAAGAAGACAGAGAACAGGAAGGAGGAGCTTTTATACAAGCCACTGTGAGCTCTCATTAAACTACTTACACTCCAACAGCTATATTTCCAGTTTTACTTTTACAAGACACATGGAGCAACATTTCTAACCTGTGTTTTATACTTTATAGACTGCCTATGTTGTGGATTTTGTGTATAATGCTCATCTGGCCCTAAAACCATTCCCATGTAACACATATCGGGCAACTGGCGAAGCAGCAGACAATGCACTATGCATTTCAGGCTGCATGATCATGTTTCACCATCATAACATACTACACAATAGGCTGTGCTGCCCTTTCTATAGAACTCACAGGGAAGCACAGGCACCCATAACTTCCCCAAGGTTACACAGCTGAAATTCCAGCTCCATAGGCTGTCTCTGAATTAACTTTGCTATTTTGGCTGTTTGTTCTAATCTTCTTATATTCTATGTTAGCAGTCTGGAATCCTCCCTGGGATGTAGAGGGCTATAAACAAATTACTAGATCTTTTAGGAGTTCAAAGCACCTATAGAGAAGGAGAATCTCATTTACTTTCCTGGGCTTCTCTCTGTGCCCTCATAGATATGCACATCACTTCATCCCATAGGCCAGTTCTTTTCTTCCCAGCCCAAATCATGCCATCTGTAGCTCCTCAATTCTATCTTTCCAATTAGCACTTCTTGGTCTAGATCGCATTTGTGGTCTTCTACCTGGGTTTGACAACTATGCACTTTGTTTCCTAAGAGACCCTGCCATGCTAAGTCACTCTAGTGCCCAGGCTTGGAGTGTTTCTATGTTGGCTCCCACATCCTCACTATTGACTTGATTGCTCACAGTGCTGGGGACACTCCAAAAATGTTCACAGCTCCCAAGTCTTGCACAAATGTTATGTCTTCTCAGAAGTTGTTGAGCATTGTGCTGGATAGCTTTAATGTCAACTTGACACACCCAGGTTGAGGGAGCCTTAATTGGGGAATTGCCTCTATTGGACTGGCCTGTGGCTATGTCTGAGGGGCATCTTCTTGATGAGTGATGTGGGAGGGCCCAGTCCACTGTGGGTGGTGCCACCCCTGGGCAGATGGGCCTGTGTTGCATCAGAAAGCAGGCTGAGCAGAGGCCAGGGGAGCAAGCCAGTAAGCAGCATTCCTCCATGGCCTGTGTTCCAGCTCCTGCCTCCAGGTTCCTGCCCTGAGTTCCTACCTTGGGCTCCCTGATAAACTGTGACCCGGGAGATGTAAGATAAAATAAACCCTTTCCTCCCCAAGTTGGTTGTGGTCAGAGTGTTTTGTCACAGCAATGGAGAGACAAACTAAGATAGGCATATCCCCAGGCAAAATTGTTCTCTTCTTTTCCTGTTGTGCTCTTGGATCACTTATTCTATCACAATATACTTAAGCTAGATGCACGAACAGTATTTCAATCTTTCTTCCATTCTCAGATACCAGGCCAGGGACATGTGGCACAGTAAGTGGATTCAACAAGTATTTCTTGAAGTTATGTCATAGTTTTAAAGCAAATGCAGAACAGTATACATAGTAGATTGATGTTATGCAAAAAAAGGAAGAATCAAAGTATAGAGCATTAACAGAAAATTATCTCTGGAGGTATACACAGGACAGGACAACACTGGGGCAGAGGAATGGCAGGGATTAGGAGAGAATATATTCTCTTTTTTGGAAGGTCTTTTTGAGACAGGGTCTCCCTGTAGCCCTAGCTGGCCTGGAACTCATTATGTAGACCAGGTTAGCCTTGAACTCACAGAGATCCACCAGCCTCTGCCTCCAGAGTGCTGGGATTAAAGGTGTGTACCATCACGACTGGCTAGAGTCACTTTTTTCTTTTTATATTTTTTATTTCTATTTTTTATGTGTATATGTGTATTGCCTGCATGTAGGTAAGCACACCTGTGTCATGCCCACAGAGGACAGAAGAGGCTGTTGGATCCCCTGGGTCTGGAGTTACAGACAGTTGTTAGCTGCCATGTGGGTGCTAGGATTTGAACCCAGGTCTTCTGCAAGAACAAGTGTTCTTAACCGCTAAGCAATCTCTCCAGCCCCGAGATTCACTTTTTAACTATGGGGCAATACTGTTTAATTTTGTAAAAGACTGATTTATACTAACAATGAGAACAACAACAAAAATTCTTTTTTTTCTTTCTTTTTTCTTTTGGTCCTTTTGAGACAGGGTCTCCCTGCAGTCCCAGCTGGCCTGGGACTCCCTATGTGGACTAGGTTGGCTTTGCTCTCATAGAGATCCACCTACCTCAATTAAAGATGTGCAATAAAAAAATCTTTAGTTAATACATGATCCCAGGATTTTGCTTCTGCTGTTACCACTCCATTAAAGTAAACAGGCTCTGCTCTGCTCCCTACATGTGGGGTCAGCTATGAGGCTTTAACATGGTGTTATCACAAGTGAATGAAAACAGAACACCTCCATAAAATATAACAATTCAGTGTTATCTTTTTATTTTTTGTTGGGGGCAGGCTTTTGGTGGTAAGGTTTCCCTGAAACCCTAGCTGGCCTATAACTAGCTATATAAACCAGACTGTCCTCAATCTTATAGAGATAGGCCTCTATATGCCTCCTGAGTGCTAGGATTAAAGGTGTGTACCACTACCTCCAATTACTGTTATCTTTTAATTACCCAATTGCATTGGGAAAATCTGCTCTAGTTACTAATTTTAAAATATTTGTGTGGTGTATGTGTGTGTGTGTGTGTGTGTGTGTGTGTGTGTGTGTACACAGGCATCCATGTGCCTCAGCACATGTGGGGAGGTCAAAGAACAACCTGCAAGACTCAATTCTCTCCTTCCTTCCACCACATGCGTTCTAGGAATTCAACTTAGGGCATCAGCCTTGGTGGGAAGCAGTTTTACTCTGAGTCATCTTGTCAGACCCTAATTATTATTTCCTTAAAAGGAAATTATTTTCCTTATTCAAGGTTGGAGAAATGGCTCAGCGGTTAAGAGCACTTGCTGCTTTTGCAGAAGACCCAGGTTCAGTTCCCAGCACCCATAGTAGGTAGTTCACAAACACCTCTAACTCCAGTTCCAGAGGATCCAACGCCCTCTCTTGTTCTCTGATGGCACTCACACATATAAAACACAGACACACAAAGATATAAATAAAAATAAATAAAATCTTTTTTTAGAAGTCTATTTATTCATTAAGACCCTCCATTCACAAATATACATACTGGTAAGTAGTAAGGCAGAAAAGTATAAGGACATTCCCTGTATATACCTACCTCAATGTCTTCCGAGAGTATTCTCAGTCTAAGAGTTTCTTTCAGATCCAGGATATCCCCTTCTTGTCTCCTGATTAACTCTTTACTCTCTTCTTTGTCAGCTAAAGCAGCATTGTATTTGTACTGTAGAAAAGGAAGTCATGATACAAGAGTGGTATGCTGTGCTGTTTATCTGTACATTAAATTAACTTAGAAATAAATGATCGAGGGCTGGAGAGATGGCTCAGCGGTTAAGAACACTGTTCTTGCAGAAGATCCAGGTTCAAATCCCAGCACCCACATGGCAGCTAACAACTGTCCTTAACTCCAGTTCCAGAGGATCCAACAGCCTCTTCTGTCCTCCTCAGGCATTGCATGACACAGGTGCACTTACCTACATGCAGGCAATACACGCATACACATAAAATAAAAATAATAAAGAAAAAAAGAAATGATTGAGTTCTAAGGTGAGGACCAGATTAACAAACTAACAAACCCTCATGAATGAAAAAACAAGTACACATGGCAAAGAGGAATGGGAAAGTCCCACAAGTACCAGCATCTGGTTTTGTCACCTTCATCAGCGATGCACTGGCAAATAAAGTAGAGTGCAGCGAGCTCTCTTAGAGCACAGCAGACATAGATAAACCATTACCTTGACCAAGCAAAGGGCAAGGCAGCAACATTCAACTTAGACGCATACAGGAGAAAGCAGCAGCAATTTTAAGAAATGGTGCTGAGTCTCTGCCTGGGGAAACAAACCCACTTGCAAATAATCATTGTCTCTGAATTTAACAGAAGTATGTAATTTTTTTTTTTTTTTCCTATTCTGTTTTTTTTCTTTTTTCTTTTTGGTATTTTTGAGACAGGGTCTCCCTGTAGCCCCAGCTGTCCTGGAACTCAGTATGTAGATCAGGCTGGCCCTGAACTCACAGAGATCAACCTGCCTCTGCCTTCCGAGGGCTGGGATTAAAGGCATGAGCCACCACGCCTGGCTATTTTTGTTTTTTCTTAAGGCAAATAAGGAGTCTGACAGTAGTGTTAATAGTTACTGGCAACACTCATATGTTTGTAATCAGCAACCCCCAAATGGTGCAGAGGACACTGTTCCAGGTCAGGGATCTGGCACAGAAATGCTGCTGCCTGCCCTGATGGCCAAGGTGTACACACTGCACAGAACATACTGCACATCTCAGAAACCATGTGGTGGTTAACTTCTATTAACTTCCAAACTTAACTCTATCACACAATCTTTTCATCTGGTGAGATAGCTACTAAACTTAGGAGCCTCAAGTGAGTCACATGCTCAAATATTAAAGCTGTTACTGAACTTACATTTATGTCCTGTAGTTCTTTCTTCAAAGTGTCTATGATTTCTGCTTTTTCACCAGTTGAAGCTCTTAACTCTTGGATTTGGCTCATGAGGTTGGTGACAAGTTCCTGATGAGGACAAAAACATCTTTAGAAAAAGTGACATTATAGAGATCATTTAAAGTGATTAACTTTTGGGCTGGAGAGATGGCTCAGTAATTAAGAGCACTGGCTACTCTTGCAGAGGATCCGGGTTCAGTTCACAGCACCTACATGGCTGCTAACAACTGTCTATAACCCTAATGCCCTCTTCTGACCTCGATGGGCATTGTACAACATGGGTATACTTACATGTAGGCAATGCACTCATACATAAAATAAAAATAATAAATAAAATATATATTTAAAATAGCGATTAGCTTACAGTTTGTTTGAATGTGAAAGTTCCCTTACAGGATCATGTGTTTGAATACTTGGTCACCAGCTGGTGACTCCGTTTCAGGGGATTCTGGAATGTTTAGGAGGTGGACCTAGCTGGAGGATGTCAGTACTAGGGTTGTAGCTGGCCCCAGTCCCCACCCAATTCTCTGTACTTCCTGGTAGGTGCTATGTAATAAGCAGCCAACATGGACCCATGCCCCTCCCTGATGCACTGTGTCCCCTCAAAACATGAGCCAGACTGAATCTTTCCTCCTGTAAACTGTTTCTGTCAGGGTAAGACATAAACCATCTCCCTTCCTCCTTCCCTTTATTCCTTGTTTTTGGGGACAGGTTTTCCCTATAGTCCTAGCTGGCATGAACTCCCTATGCAAACCAGGCTTGCATTGATCTCAGAGATCTGCCTGCCTCTGCCTCCCAAATACTAGGATTAAAGATGTGTGCCACCCAGGTCATTTTTTTTTTCAATATTATATCTATTATTTTTATTTTACGTGTATGAGTGTATTGCCTGCATGTATGTGAGTGCACCCGTGTCGTGCAATGCAGCAGAGGTCAGAAGAGGGCTTCCGATTTCCCTGAAACGGAAGTTAAGAACTTTTGTAGCTGCCATGTGGGTGCTGGGACTCAAACCCAGGTCCTCTGCAAGAGGAGACTGTTCTGTTAACTGCTAAGCCATCTCTCCAGCACCATTCTTTTTTTTTTTTCTCTTTTTGAGACAGGGTCTCCCTGTAGCCCCAGCTGTCCTGGAACTCACTATGTAGACCAGGCTGGCCTCAAACTCACAGAGATCCACCTGCCTCTGCCTCCTGAGTGCTGGGATTAAAGGCACGCGCCATCACGCCGGGCTCTTTTTCTTTTTTTAAAAAATATTTTCTTTCACAGGGCTTGGTGACTCTGTGAGTTTGAGGCCAGCCTGGTCTACATAGTGAGTTCCAGGAGCTGGGGCTCTTTTCAAGTGTCTTGAGTTGCAATGTTAAGTCAAAAATATTTTTTTTCTTTCTTTTTTTTTTAATGTGCATGAGTGTATTGCCTGCATGTGTGTAAGTACACTCATGTTGTGCAATGCCTGTAGAGGTCAGAAGAAGGCACCGGATCCCCTGGAACAGGAGTTATGGATGGTTGTTAGACACCTTTCTTTATGTGTTATGGGTCTGTTTAAGCTGTTAATCTCTTCTTGGTTTAGTTTCGGTGGTTCCCATGCCTTTAGATATGCATCCATTACTTTTAGGTTTTCAAATTTAGTGCTATATAGGTTTTTAAAGTATTCCCTTATAATGTTTTGTATCTTTCTGGTGTCTGTTGTGATGTTAACCCTCTCATCTCTGATTTTGTTGATTTGGAGGTGCTCTTTCTTTCTTTTGTTTAACTGGGCTAGTGGTCTGTCAATCTTGTTTATCTTTTCAAGGATCCAGCTCTTGGAGTTGTTGATTCTTTGTATTGTTTTCTTTGATTCAATTTCATTGATTTCTGCCAGTTTGGGTTTCATTTGCTCTTGCTTTTCGAGTTAAGGCATTTATTTGTGTTCTTTCTGATTTTTTTGATGTAGGTACTTAGAGCTATAAACTTCCCTCTAAGGACAGCTTTTAGCATGTCCTAGAGGTTTTGTTGTGTTGTATTGTCCTTTTCATTTGGTTCCAGGAATACTTTTCTTTCTTAATTCCTCTTTTGACCCATTCATCATTTAGGAGTGTGTTGTTTAATCTCCCTATGTTCATGTGGTGATTAGGGCTTCTTCCAGTGTTGATTGTAAGCTTTGCATTATGGTCTGATAGAATGCATGGAATTATTTCAATATTTTTGTCTTTGTTGAGGTTTGTTTTGTGCCCTAGTATATGATAGATTTGGGAGAAAGTTCCATGGGGTACTAAGTAGAAAGTATGTCCTTTGGTGCTTGCGTGGAATACTCGGTAGATGCTGTTAAGTCCATTTGATATATGGTATTGCTTAATTCAGATGTCTCTCTGTTAACTTTCTGCCCTGTTGACCTATCTAATGGAGACAGTGGGGTATTGAAGTCCCCTACTATTAATGAGTTGGGATTAATCTGGGTCTTAATGTCCTGTAGTATTGTTTTTATGAAGTTGGGTGCACCAGAGTTTGGTGAATAAATGTTCATGACTGTAATATCTTAGAATGAAGTGACCCTCTTTATCTCTTCTGATTAATTTTAGTTTAAAGTCTATTTTGTCAGATATTAGAATTGCTACGCCTGCTTTTTTCTTGGTACCATTTGCTTAGTATATTTTCCATCCTTTCACTTTAGTGTCTATCCCTGAAAGTGAGATGAGATTTTTGCAGACAACAAAAAGATGGGTTTTGTTTCTTAATCCATTCACATAGTGTCTTTAGACGGGGGAGTTCAGTTCATTAATATTTAAAGTTATTAATGAAAGATTGAGTATTGAATCCTGTCATTTTTATTTTTGTTTACATTCTTCATATACCTGTACTTTTGCACAGTTATACCTTCAATGAATTTCTTTCTGCAACCCCTTGGATATAGTCATTCATATCTTCAGCTCTTTGTATTGCTTCCAGAACTCTCTGAAGGGCTGGTTTTATGGACATGAATTCCTTCAGCCTATTTATGTCATGGAAGATTTTTCTTTCCCCTTCAACTATAATAGACATTTTGGCTGGGTATAGTAAACTGGGTTGGCATCTGTGGTCATTTAAAACTGGGAATACTTTGGTCTAGGCTCTTCTGGCTTTCATAGTTTGCACTGAAAAGTCAGCTGTAATCCTAATGGGTTTTCCTTTATATGTGACTTCTTGTTTCTCTTTTGCAGCTGTCAGTATTGTGTCTGTTTTGTACGTTTAGTATTTTTACTATGATGTGCCGTGGAGAGTTTCTTTTCTGGTCCTGTTTGGTGTTCTATATGCTTCTTGTATTTGTATGGACATGTCTTTCTTTAATTTTGGAAAATTTTCTTCCATGATTCTGTTGAAGATCTGGTCCATGCCATTATCTTGGGATTCCTCTCCTTCCTGTATACCTATGATTTGTAATTTGGTT